CTCTCTCTCTCTCTCTCTCTCTCTCTCTCTCTCTCTCTCTCTCTCTCTCTCTCTTTCTCTCTCTCTACCAAAGTACATCGTTCTGGCAGCTCAACTGAGTGGTACCATTGCAGCAAAGTTGGGTAATTTGCGACATCAACAACGACAGCCATTGAGGGGTCGAGGTGGCTGTGCCATCGTTTCATCGATGATGGAGATGGAAACTTACCCGGTGCTGATTAGACGAGGCACCAACGACAACAGCAGCAAAAACAGAAACAGCAGCAGCAGAAGCCACAGCTGCCACTGTCGTTGTTGTGGCCGACGACGACGACAAAGAAGAAGACAGTTAGCAGTTGAGGGCAGATGGCAAACACTCAGGGTTGAGGGTATTAGAGGACACTTTTAGTACAGGTGAAGTGTTGGAGGTCACCGGTGAGGTGACAGTGGTGATCAGGGTGCTCAATATTCGAGCCGGTGGGAACCGATCTCTTGTAGCTGTTTGTACACATTCAAACCGGAATAGCCAAGGTGCGGGGAAGTGGATCAAAGTTTCGATTTCAAGCGACATGTGGTTCAGTTCAAAAAGTGCACCTTTTTCTTTTTTTTACTAGCTTGTTCGCTCCTTTTCTCTTTCATTCCCTCCTTTTCTCGTGTTTTCTCTGTTTTCTCTCTCGCGTCATCGGTGACCAAGTAAGCGACAAGTAAACGGTCACGTAGTATGACCGTTCGTTCATGAACGGACAATGGCTAAGATAGTGATACTGGTCAGTCAATACCGTTTCCTTTTGTTGAACTCTCTCATTAGTTGAAGTTTGCTTCGACCCAAACGGCCGCAGCAGATATGAAGAGCATTAGAATGCACTGAAGTGACTACCAGGGCTCAAATTAGAAGACAAACACTGCGACAACCCTCTTGAAGCACAAACAAGTTGCTGTGACTCTCTCTCTCTCTCTTTCTTTCTCTCCATCTCTGAATACCTAGATAAGAAGAAGAAGGTACTTTTGCCTAGCGAAAGGGACGACCCAAGTGCTGACAATCAAGTTGAAGATCACTCGAGTGGGTCATATTAGGTTCAACTATGCCTTAAGGAAAGAAAGCAAAAGCCTGTTTTTTTGTGAGCGATGACAAGCTTTATTTTGTTGTCTTATTAGGTGGTGGTTGTGAGTGTATGTGTATGTGGTAGTTCCGACTATCGACGTACTTTCCCGGTAGAAGCTCGGTATGGCAGAGACCAAAATGGGAAAAGAGACAGCGGAGATAAGAGGCAACGAGAGCGAGAAAAGAGCAGAAAATGTCAGCAAACATGTGCTTGTAATGGAAAGATGATAAGGTGACAAGAGAGAGAAAGAGAAAGAGAAGGGAATGAAAGTGAAAATAATAAAATGCAACAAAAAGTAATAGAACAGAAGTAGTGAACAAGGGAAAAGAGTAAAAAAGTTGAGAGCGAGTATCAATTTGAAGAGAATCATTTGGTCGGAATCAACTGTCGTCGGTGACTGCTTTCTCCCCTTCCGCACCCTTGGGCTTCCTTCCTTTCTTCAGCGCTTGCTATTCTCGTCGCCGTACTTGTTTTTGCTGGAGAAACAGCTGCTCGAGGAGGAAGGGGAGGACTCTCCCCACTTGCTGCCTTTGGAGCGATTGCTGAGGATGTTCTGCGTGTACTTCTCATTGGAGCTGGTCAACTCGGCCATGCGGTAGCCACTGCTGAGGATGGCGCTGTCGATGACGGAGTTGTAGGCGGAGTTGGAGTGGTGGCCGTGGTGGTGGCTGGAACTGCTGGAGCTGCTTGAACTGCTGCTGCTGTACTTGCTCGATTTTGACGGCGAGTCATAGGGCGAGTTGGAGGCGTTCTTTTTGTTGTTCATTTTTGAGGTTTCAAGGTAATGGTTGGTGATGTTCTCGTTGGAGAGGGGATGAACGAAGAAGAAATTAAATTATTAAAAATGGAAAAACTAAACAAGAGAAATGATGAGAAATGAGGAAGAGATCGAGAGAATGCAGCAACCGGTAGTGGTGGTGGTGGTCCCTGGACCGTCAACTGCTGATCACTTTGAATGACTGGGCTCAGCTGGTCGACTGGTGTTGGGCTTTTTATTGGTGATCACCGCCGACCACTGCGACGACGACAGAAGCAACTGCAGCCGTACAC